ATCATTGCGTTTCCTGCCCTTGCCCTCTGTATACATCACTAACACACACCCATTGGCCTTCAAGTGACTCCTTCCATAAGCTCACCTGTACAAAAGCAAATGGAAAACAAGCTAGGAGAATTTTCAATCTGCAGTGAAAGTGCAGGACACTTTCATTCACTGAGGAATATTTCAGGGAACATGGCAAAGTGGACATGCCGTCTCTTAAAGTTTTAAAGGCTTGTTTATAGTGGAAATAGCACTTAGCTTATCCAGCTAGTTTATAGGCACTCCACTAAAAACAAATAATTCAAACGCAATAAACCAGCATTAAAAACCCCAACTGGCAGGAGGCATCCAGCTGGCTATTTCGAAGCATGACTGAGGATTTGAACAACCAAGAACAAATCCAGCAAGTGGCCAGAGTGGGACTCGAACCCTGGAAAGCCGGATTGCAAGTCCGATGCGCTGACCACACGACCATGCTGCCTTCTTCTTCCCCTCCACCCCCTCAACAAAAGTTGAACTTTTTCTTTTTTGCCTAAAACGAAACCTGGACAGTTTTGGGTAAAGGTGACTATCAGAGAGAGGATATCTCTCGCCTGTTTCTTACACAACTTTCAAGAAAGAGTCAAAACAGGTAAAAAGTGTCATTTAACATGGCATGTCAGTCAATTCAAGGCTGATTCTACGTTAAGTTTACCTTGTTATCTCCACCAGATACAGCTAAAATGTTCCCTGTTACAGACCAACTAACATGCCAAACAACATCACCAAACTTCTTTAAAACCTGAAAAGTAAACACAATCTTTGTTATCAAACTTGGCCATTTAGCAAAAAGCTGCAATAATAAATTGCTAAGAAAAGTTTAGGGGGCCCCTTTCAGTCTCTTTGTGCATGGTGAGATGAAAATTTAACAAAATTGCTTGCCCATTCTGGTGTTAAAACGTACGGATAATTATGTCTCTTGGAAACTGCCCACCTACCCTTTCCCTAAGCAAACATTTTCCCTAAGTGAGAAGTAAGTGTTCATGTTGGCTTAGGGGAAGGGTAGGTGGATAGTTTCTCAGACACTTATGGTGATCTAAAGTTTCACTAGACCAGAGCAGTCATGCACTTAACTACCAACCCCCTTTTACTAAAATTTACTTAATCGTGGCAAATGATGCTTGCCCATAAGACAGCTCATAATTAAAACAGGCTCGCCCAATGGGTTGCTCCACTAGCCCTTGCTGTTGGTGATTGGACAACAATTTTCTTGTACCCAGTTGTTGTCACCACTTTTATCACGTTATGACAGATTAATTTTACATGTAAGTCTGTTACAGTTTACAGCCAAGGAAGGTCGAGAGTACCCCCTGAGATTCCATTAATGAATTTATTATTCAAAAGTTGAATCCATTGGTAGTTGTAGACTTCAGATTCATCTCTGCATTCTTGCATGCGTAATGACCAGTAAATTCACAAACGAGGCAGTTATGAAATTTCTACCAGCTTAGTTTCCCTGAATTGATGTAAATGTCTTGAAGCAATTTTATCCATTCAAAGATTTTCAATCTGACCAAATACAGAAGATTTCTCGTAAAATATTCACTGCTCATTACACATGCATGAATGCTGATTTGAATTTGACAATAGTTACGGGAACGACTAATGGATTCATTTTTCAAATAACCAATTCATTAATAGAATCTTGGAGGGTACGCTTGACCTGTCTTGATTGTAACCTCCCACAACCGACCACATAAAATGTGAAGAGTTACTGTAATGGACCCTTATGGGAGGTAGGTGTCTTTCAAGAAGAGAAGTCTAGAGACATCTCCTTTTTGGAGAGAATGTATTAAATGCAAGAACATTATGTAAATCCATGTTGTTTCTTAAAGTTCTTCTCATATTCTGAGTAGTGTAGTACATACAGTGAACACAAAGATGAGACATACAGCTGTAGTATCAGGTGGTCACTTAGACGAGATTAAGAACAATAGAAGATTCTAAAACCGTCACTCTAAAAAGTGGTCGTGACTGCTTATGAGAGGCTGTCATTTACGACAAGTGGTCACACATGAAGGATTGACTGTATTTTAAATGCAGTACCTGCAGCAGCACTTACACTTGTCAAAATTGTGTTGTAACTAATAATTTCTTTATCAGAGACAACTCTTTGATCTCAAGACTTGAGTCCCAGTAGATGTTTTTAGAGACTTTGTATTTACCTTAGAAGACCAACCACCACCTGTAACCTCATTTTTTGTCCAGATAACGACACGGCAATCCTGTCAAAAAAACCAAACAAAATGCTGTCAAGTTCTCAAAGTAACTTTCACTGGAAGCTCCCCAGACCAAGACTCTCCTAAGTGGACAGCTCTACCAACAGCTACCTTCACAAAACCCCATTTTTCTTAACTTCCATACAAACTGTGTTTTTACATTCCTGTAAGTGCCAGCTCCAGTTACAAATCAGTGTGCAAAGATAGTCATGTTGGATAGCCCGGGCTAGTGGATTTTGCTATTGGGCTAGTGATTTTTGTTCTTAACTTGCCCGATGGGCAAGTGCTGTTTTTTAGGGAAACTCAAATTACAGAAGGATTGTAATCAATACTGCTAATGAAAAAGGGGTTTTGGGGCTAGTTGAAATAACTTGTTGGCTAGTACATGCTAGCTACAGCTTTCCTGCAAAGCAGGCTGTAAAACTGACTTTCTTTGCACCCTGGGAACACCTTTTTCGTGTCCTGAGGGAGTCTGCTCATGAGAACT